CAGTGTTCAGGGCCAGGCTGGATGAGGACTTCAGCAACCTGATCTAGTGAGGAGATGTCCCTGCCCATGGGAGGGAGGGTCGGGACTAGATGATCTGTAAGGTCCATTCCAGCCCTTAAATTATGTGATTCTATGATATTTACATAACCAATGAAACCCTGATGCGATTACACTGGGAAGTGTTACTGTGGTCTCTGACAAGAAAATGCAGTAACACATTCTAGAAATACTCTGTAAACCACTTTCTGTCCCATTTCACTTTCCTGTGAAGAATTTCTGCTCTCTTGTCCACACATTCAACTTATTCTTTTACAATACTTCAGTTGGTTCACAGCTGGACAGCTGTGATCCTTTGTCTATGGACTAGATTTTTTTTTGGTACATTTGTGAACAGATTGATTTCTCTATCTTAATTCTGCATTGGTAGTAATTTTTCTTATGTATGTATCCATTGCTGATCTTGCCCTGGACTTGAGTAATGCCTCTGATGTTCTCTTTACAGATCCCTTTGATTTGAACCATAATCTTGGTGCTGGATTGTCAAGAAAAAGTAAGTCTTCTGTTAACAAATTTGGTTACAAATTGATGGTCTTGCCTTGGATCTTATTTTACTTTCTGGTTTGTTACTTAGAGGATGATTTCAGTTTGTGTTTTTTCTTCCCCAGTGACAAATTTTATAATGAAGGCTTTTATCAATGGCAGAAGGGTATTTGGTACCCCTATCAAAGTATTTCCTAAAGAATACACATCAAAAATGGTAAGTTCCGTCTAAGAGGAGAGTGTGTGTGCTCTTCAGTACCTAACTTACCTTTTGTAGGAGTGTGGTTACATTCACTTTAGGCTCTTTTAGATTTCCACAGTACTCTAAAAACCTTTATGGTAGTTATTCCTGAGTACTGTTTTAATGTTATTTCCATGTAAAAGTTGTTGGTATGCAGAATACTACTCAAGTCAGAGTTTCATTGCACAGGCTTAGGTATTTTAATCCAAGTCAAAACCAGCTTATCACTTCTAAACCTGCAGTCTTATAACAGAGCATGCAGACCTGGTGGTGAGTGGGCTTCCTTTCAGAGAGCTCAGTGGCCCAGTTAACTCATCAGGTCTTTCAGGGGTTCGGCTGCAGACACCAGGTTTATTCTTTTCTGTAACTCTTGCTGCTGGTTTAACAGTTGGGTATCTGTCTTGATTCTAAAGTGTATGAATTTTCATTTTAAATGCATAATTTCTTCTTCAGGAGTACTTTTTTGATCCTGAGGCACTAACAGGAGGAGAAGTGGCACCAAATGACAGATGCTGCAGAAGTTGTGGTAGAATTGGCCATTTCATGAAAGATTGTCCCATGAGAAGAAAGTGAGTATAGTGTTGGCATCTGTGGGCAACTTTTCCTTCAGTTTGTCTAAGAAAGATTAGGATAGTAATGCTAAAGCAAAACTTGTACATGCTGCAGATTATTTCCTTAACTGTAGAAATTAAAACCTATCGGTACCAGCTATGGCAGTGGTGGATGGTGTTGGTTTTTAAGTTTTTTGTCTGTATTGAGTCACTACTTTTGCCAGTATTACCTGTACTGTTTTTGTAATAGAATCTTGTCATAGAAGGCTGCAGAGCTTAGCTTAAGGTGCTAATGAGGATCTGCTCTTCGATATAGAAAAGAAGTAGTCAAAGAGAATCTAAATGCAGAGCTGAATGAATGTGCACTGTGAGAAGCACTTATGGGTGAATTTTATATATTTTTATTTAATAGCTTCTACTACCAAAATTGTGCTGCTTCCCAGCAAGACACATTTTTATCATGTTCACAGAACCATGCAGTTCATGTCAAAAAGCAAGACAATGTCACACCATTGTTTTTAGGAAGCACAGAGATATAGGAACATGTCCTGTCCAAGGCAAAGTTTCCTGATCCTGAGTAACCAGATATCCAATATTTGACAATTCTGTTCCTGTAACAGAGGAATGGCTAAACAGCTTTTGCTGCTCTTCATCTTACAAAATGTCTAAACTTAAAACTATCCCTTAATTTTTTTCTAGTTAAGACTTTCTAAAGTTAAGCTCTTTAAAGACTTCACATCTATAGAATAGTGAAAACTGGCAAATAAAACTTCAGGAGGATGAAATCCTGAAAACCTTTGTGCTCACTTGCAAGGTGGATGGATATAATCTAACCTTTGTTTAGAATCTGTCTATGTTAAAAGTTGTAATTAAAAATCAGCTGCACTTCTATCTAAATAAGTAAAAAAACTCCTACTAACATGGGGTCAGATGAAGTAGTTATTGTGCTACACATTAGAAAATCATGAACTTACATTGTTGAGACTATTAATTTGGGAATTTACTCAACTTCAGCCAATGCAAGATACAGCAGCAGATGATAGTTTGAAATTAAAGAATGTTAAAGGTGATATGAAAGTCTACTCCATGTCTAAACTGCTGTCTCATGTCCATGGATTTTTGATCTTGCATTCTGAAGTGAAACACCAGTTCATTGCACAGATGCAGCTATGTTCCATACAACATTAGAGGGAAAGTAAATGGGATTATGCATCTAAGAATGGAAATGCTTTATGGAGTGAAACCACTGGTACATTTGAGTCCTCTGTCCAGCCATTGCAATAGGAGATGCTATCTATGAAGGGCACACTAGTTGTCTGTCTTCTGTAGTCTCTTGTGCACTGCCTCAGCATCTGCAGTTGCTGTATAAAAAACGTTAGAGCACATACCTGCCCTGGTTAATGCTCATTTGTGGACCGGAGTTGTTTATGACTTTGTCATTTCAGTTGTTTGGGGTCATTTTCTGAACCTGATTCTCCTGGTTTCCTTAAGTCTTCTATGGCAAACAGTTCTATAAGTTTTCTAACCGATGTGTAAAATAGTGCTTTCCTGTATCTGTTTAGAGCCAATCTCATTGTAGTCATCCACTAACTTGCTAAGTGTGCACTCAATCCCTTTGTCTGTGTCCCTAACAAAGATGTTATGTAATATTGGTCCCAATACAGACCCCTGAGGAGCAGCACACATCACTGGTCTTCACGTAGATATCAAGCCATGTGAAGCCATGGATATCAAGACCACAGTTTGGCCATATCCAGCCAGTTGCTTATTTCACAGGTCCATCTGTCAAATCCATGTCTCTCTATTTTAGAGACAAGGATGTTGTGTGGGACAGTGTCACGTCCAGGCAGATGATGTCAGTCGCTCTTCTCTTACCCATTAATGCTGTTACAGAAAGCTGCCAAATTTGTCAGGCATGATTTGCCCTTAGTCAAGCCATGTTGACTGTCCCCAGCTGCCTCTCTGTTCTGCACTTGCCTTAGCATAGTTTCCAGGAGGATCTGCTCCATGATCTTATGAGGCGAAGTTGAGAATGGCCAGCCTGTAGTTCCCCAGGTATTCCTTTTTTTCCTTTTTTTTTTTTTAAAAAAAAGAAGCTCACCTTGAAGCTTATGTGCTATTCATTTGCCCATTCATTCAGGTTTGTGAAAGATTTTCAAGGTACCACGTGGTCTTTTGGTTTGGTTTTCTTTTGACTGTCTATGTGTGTAAGGCCCATGAACTCTACAGCATTTTTCTGCTCCTGCAGACCAAGACAGTGTCGTGGTTATGAAGGTACACAGAGGTATGCAGAAGTCAAGGAGAAAAGAAACAAAGAGGACAAAGAAATGCAGAATAAACCAATAGAAAATGAGAGCTCAATCAAGGAGGGAAAGTTGCATCTCGGTACATCTCAGAAGAGGAAATTAGCCAATGCAGTGGTGGAAACTGGGAGAGAGAAGAGTCCCAGGCAATCAGCAGAGAAGTGGAAGCGCCTGGAAGACAGAGACTTAAGAGAAAAACGTTGTTTTATCTGTGGAAAAGAAGGTCATATTAAAAAGGAGTGCCCACAGTACAAAGGAGTTGCAGGTACAAAACTGATCAAGCCGAGTAGTATAAATAGCGCTTATGGGGTTTTAGATATTTTTAACAGGATTGACTAATGGCTAAGGTTTTTGCTGTGAATAGCATCATGTAAATACTATATTTTTTTTGTGTG